CATTCGACAATGTTTGGATTGTCTAATTTCAAGAATTTGAGTTCTGGGAACTCGTCATCACTCATTTCCCATGTAGTATCCTCAAAAACTATTGAAACTAATTTGAGAACCTCATGATTTTCCAATCTGCCAATTGTCGGAATATGATCCCACTGCAAAGAGAGATGTGACAATGACAGCCTTTTAAGACTTGAAGGAAAGCTAAATTCACCAGCATTAAGTGCCCTACCACAATATAGTATTTTAAGTGACTCCAAGTTAAATCTTCCGATCTCAGAAATTCAGAGCTATTCTGTGAAAAGAAAATCCCCTGATTTTGTAAAGACACAACTCAATCTTTTAACATTAGACATCCTTCTGATGATTTCCTCCATATGATCCCCACAAGAAAGATAGGGAGTTGAGAAAGACACCAAATTGGACAATGCTGGGTTTGTGGTCCAACCCATTTGGTAGGCCAAACCACAATTTAATCTCATTAGGTTTCCAAGTCAATTCTTGACTTGAGATTATGGCATGTGACTACTCAATTTGACTCAGTGTTGTTAGACCGGGACCGAACCGGCTAATTCGACTGTGAACCAGCCTTTTTTCCAAACTGGTTTGTAGCACAAAGCCCTTTTGGTTAAAAAATAGTCAAAAACTATCAAAAATCGGCTAAATCAGTGACCCGATTCAACTGGTTGACACGGTTCTCAAACTTTTCTTTCTTCTTTTTCCCAAACATAATTGTAACACTTTCATTTATTAATAGGAATGAGTAAACCCACTTACTTAGTGCAAATATCAAGATCACTCGTTTTCTTGAATGATCTCTAAATTAAGACATTTTCATTCCTACGATCTTATCAATTTAGGATCAGTGATTCTAACTTACATTAAATTGTTTTAATTTAATTTTTCAAGTAGTTTTGGAGAATGGACATACTTTAGTCATGAATTTACATTTTTATATATAATTATTTGGTGTATATAGAAAATTTATATTTTCTATGGTTGGCCAAATATAACCAAGAACTTAATTTTAATATTTTCAAAACTTATAAAAATATAAAAGAATTATGATATCATGCTGATATCAACGAGTTTTTTAGAACGGTCTAATCGATCCGACCAATTGATCCCTGACCCAGTATTAATCGAGTCTCTATCTGGTCCGAATTTAATAACATTGATTTGACTGGTACTTGGAGCCGCACAAGAGAAAATAAACATCAATCCACACAACAACTGTTCTAGCCGCCACTTTTCTTTCTTACTGGGAAATGAAGAGAGAGAAAAAAGTGACTTGGGAGAAAAGAAGTTAGAGAGAAAAACTTCAAAATCTTGATTGAATGGTGATTTGAAACCCGATTGAGATGAAATTTTAGCTACACGATACTCGTGTCAAATTCTACCCATCGACTAGTTTAGATTTTGGATTTCCTCTTCACTTGATAATACCCTTCCAAACCCACTTTTTTAATAGTTGTAAATTTTGGGAGATGAATTTGAAACAATTTTGCATGATTGATGTTGGTGATGTTGTTGTCATATGAATGCTTCGGGTAGACCTGTGTATTCCTATTACTGTGATAATGAAATTTTTTTTTTACTAGACTAGGTCTTGTGTTTTTTTTTCTCAATTTGCATTTTTCATGTTAAAAATTTTGGTGTCTTGTACCTTTTATTTTTTTTTTTTTTTTGCATTTTACTATTACTGTTGACATCGTGACTTAGTAATTTTGTTTGTTCCTATTTTTATTGATATTTGGAAAAAGAATATTTTGTTTTGGGTTAATTCTAATATTGTATGACTACACCAGTATCCCTTTCATAACAAAGTAGTATCAGAACAGTCAGGATGGCCTACTCATTTGTACTGGTTAAAATAGATGATTCAGATAGTGGTTGTATGTTAAAATTAAATGCAACTAATTAATCGATTTGAAAGCCTAAAATGAAAGACTATTTGTGATACAAACCCCGCCAGAGACAGAAACCCATATTTCACAAGTTCCGAATCTAGAAGATTAATACCTATGGTTTGATAGCGAAAAAACTTAACCCTAATTAATTCTAGAAGTCACAAACATGTTGACTCAACCCGTAACTAATCGAATTAAAGAACCAAATTTACAAGATAAAAGGCGCCAAAATTCAGGAGGTTGCTTCTAAGAAGCCAAGAGAGAACTCTCTCTTCATACCAATAGTTGGCTGGAAAATATCACTCTTATTCATATATTGAATATCGTTAGACAAGACTTTATTATAACCTTTACAAGACACAAGTATTCTAATCAAATATGGAAACAAATTACTACTTTTCTAAAACTTTAGCTCGGCTCCAACATAAGTCAACATGACCTAGCCTTTATTTCCTAATCAAATGACTTAATCTAACTCTTAAACCAACTCTTAACTAATGATTAACAAAGCTGGAAATTTAACTAAGCAAATGACTAAAGCATTAAACTTGGAATAGTTTCGGGTTGCAATTCCTTCACTTGTACCAACATCAATGACTTGACGATAGCCTTCATTCCGTCAACTAATATGGCTAGAAGCTAAAGGAAACAAACGACTTCAAGAGTTTAAAATTGAAACTGGTTTGGCTCAAACTTGGAACAAGTTGGACATAACATGTTCTCGAATCTTCACTAAAAACATGATGCTTGAGAAGTCAGGTTTATATCATTCCCCTCTTCTTGAAAGAAATTTGTCCCCAAATCAACGACTTGTTTGGACAGTATCAACATTGGAAACAACTTTATGATGACTAGCCATTCCATATGTCATTTGTGCAACGGCAGGATGTATGTGAACTCAAAAGGAATATGAAACCAAGCACACAAAGGGGCCTGATTCAGCAAGTTAAGAACATCATTGGGATGGTGCTTGACACAAACATTCATGTCACCCAATATATGAGGCAGCAAAGGATCGAAATCCACTTCATATGACTCATACTAACTAGCAAAATGTGAAGCAGACAAAAGGAACAATTGGGAACTAGATTCTGAAGGCTAGAATAAGCTTAAAAAACGACAAGGGGAAAGCATCAAATGACGTGATAAGGGGCAAGGCTGGAATAAGCATCAATTTGTATTGTAGAGATTTTTTTAAGCATGTTTTAGGGGTTAAGAATAGACCAAGTGATATGAGTGATTAAAAGTGGGCTGCTATGCATAGAAAAATTGTTGGTAATATTAGAAAGTGGATTGATCAGATTATTTTTCCAACACTTTGCTAATGAAATTAGAGCTGATGTTCTGTGATAAAAGTTTAAAAGTATGTATAAAAGAAAGACCACTTTAAATCTTGTCTGAAGCAAATTACTGGGATCAGATACAAACAAAAGGTGCAGATATTACTAAGCATCTGAATAATTTTCAGGGCTTGATAAATCAAGCAACTACATTGAACTTGAACTTGGATGATGAGGTACAGGCTTTGCTGTTGTTCAGTTCACTGCCGGATAACTGGGAGAAAATGATGATTTCTATCAGTAATTTAGCTCTGAATGGTGTATTGACCATGGATATATCAAAAGAGGTTATGATGAATGAAGAACTCAAGAAGAAGGAACAAGGAATTGTGAATGAATCTCAGACCCTGGTGATAGAAAATAAAGAAGAAAGGGAGAGAAACAAAAATAGAGCACCCCACAACAGGAATGATAGTGAAAAAATAATGCATTCTTTTATTGTAAAAAGAAGAGCATTATATGAAGGAATATAGAATTCTAAAATGGAAACAAGTTGAGAAAAAGGGCAAAGACAAGGCGAACCAAAAACATGATGAAGAGACTACAGTAATTGTGACAACTCATGATGATATGTTTGTGTTTTGTGATAATGGTCATGTGAATATTACCTGCCATGACAGTGATTGAGTAGTTGACGTGGATGCATTCTACCATGTTATCCCTCTAGGCATTTCTTCTCAACCTACACGAAAGGAAACTTCGGTTATGTTAGGATGAGAAATGAGGTCTCCTGCAAAATTATTAGTATGAGAGACATATATTTGGACACAGATATCGGGTGCCAGTTTCAAAAATTACTCTACCTGTAAAGTTGATCAGGCAAATTGACAATAATCATTAAGCTGAATGTAATATGGTTTTGAAGTCAGTGAAGATCTTAAAAAAAATTTAAGTATTTGTTAGTGTAGTATGTTCTAGTGACATGTTTTTGTGCTTAGCCTGGAAAGTGGAAACCTTGTTAAAAATCATCTAATTTCAATGTTTAATGATTTTGGGGTCTCTGGAGAAGCAATTTGAACTACCATTTTATCTGCCAGCATGTTTTTTCCAGGAAGAAGGCTTTAAATGCCCTCAGAACTTTGAAAGAGTGAAACTATCAGTTCGTCATGTTGCTGGCAGGTATTCTGGTCTTGTACAAGGAATTGCGACCTTTCAATAGTGCGGAAGAACCAAGCAATTCAGCTTCCATTCATAAATTGAACAGATCTCCTATTGTCAAGTTTATCTTGGGTAAAGCATCTTCTAGTCTCCCCTCCATATGCACTCATGCTAGTGATGATAAAATATGTTGATAAAATGTTGTTTCCCCAAAATTCGTCTTTTGAGAGTTGAAGCAGAGCCTTGTCTAGCGTAGGTTCCTGGTTACAAGAACGTCTTATTCCTTTGAGTAAACTTGTTTCTTTCTCACGCCTGAACAATGTAAGTATTTTGCTTTCAAGTGCTATTCAGCTTGGCCTGCATGCTCTCTTCAATTTCCTTTTATATCACGTATCTTTTTATTCATCAGCATCTCATAGAAAAATGTATAACAAGGAATTGCAAGTCTAGAAATTCATTTCAGCCAGTTGAACGAACTCGAACTGTTTTTTTTAAGAACCAAGAAGATTTGTGTCAAAATAATAGATGCCAAGAACAGCAAAAGGCCTAGGACATGGAATGGATCTTGAAGTACTATTTCTGCATCCACCTGATCAAATCTGCCCATATTGGAGTTACTCGTTAATGGTTGATCCAATTTGATGTATTCATCCACTAGGTAATCGTTGGCTTAAAAAAATTGATGATGCAAAGCAAAGGCATACAGTTCCAGTAATGCTTGCAGAAAGAATAATCAAAAAAGAAGATTGGAGCCACTATGTACACACAGAAGACTAAGATCTTGAAGGCATCGAGTTTGGAATACCATCAGAAAAGAAAAATAGGATGCCAGATCCATTAATACAAGCAACGAGAATGGGCAACAGTGAGGTAGCTCTGGAAATCCTCTCAGTCTACCCTGAAGCTGCGTATACCTTCGATGAAAAAGGAAGGAATATACTGCAAATTGCAGTGGAGTAGAAAAAAAGGTTCTTGTATGACTACTTGATGCCTAGTGGTATTGACAAGGATAGGACGCTAAGTGATACTGATCACGAAGGAAATATCATTATACATCTCGCAGCAAGTCTGGGATCCCCTCGCAGCACTCCCCCTGGTGTTAGGATGTCCTCTTGTTTAAGGTACCAAATTAAATTAATACCAATATTGCATTGCCTGTTGTATATTGTTTAATTTTCTCTTCAGGACTATTTGCAACTTACAATTGAAATTTGGCTCCACAGCTAGTACAGTATGACTCTTTTCCATATCTCTGGCAACTACAAAATTCTGAAGGGAAGACAGCAGCACAAGTATTTGAGACGAACCATGCGAGTGTACGCAAAAAGGCTGAGAAAACTATGAAGGAGATGGCCAACAGTGTGTTGATTGTGTTTGTCCTCATTGGTACCATTAACTTTGCTACAGTTTTTACTGTCCCTGGAGGTTTCAATCAAGACAGTGGAGACCCCGTTTATCTCATGTTGGCTGATACATAAACAGAATTTCTTCACTATAAAACATATGAATGTTCCATAGGCCAAAAAATCTACCCTTTTTCGAATTCAGAACTTTAAACGGTAAGCTGAGGACATCATAGAAGAATGTCAAAGTAGGCAAGACATTGGACCTTTTATTTCCTATCATCTTCTAAGCCAATGCCATCTTTTGGCACCAGGGGTAGCAAGAGGAAGTGGATGGCAGCACTTAGGAGCTTATGTAAATCTTGGGGCATATTATCTGGTTGGAATTCCTGTGGCTTTAATACTGGGATTTGCACTACATTTAGGAGGAATGGGTCTCTGGAGTGGACTGGTGGCTGGAGCCACGGTGCAAAGTCTTCTCTTGTCCATTATCACAGGCCTGACAAACTGGGGAAATCAGGTTGGAATGCTAAGTCCACTAAATTACTTGAATTTTCTTTCGCATTATTTCACTTCAGCTAATTCTAGAACTTAATTCATTAGTGATTGGTAAAATCTTGTTGATACGAAGTCAGCTAGCTGCCTGACTTTTATTCGTGTGGATTGATATATCTGTAACAGGTGATTGAAGCTAGACGCAGAATATATGAAGGGGAAGAAAAAAAGGCCACTTCAGTGTGAGTCAATTGGATGGAAAAACTAGCAATTGCAGGGCACAAATGGGCTTTTTCATGTGCTTCATCTGCAGTAAAGTACAACTCATGAAGTGAAAACTGCATTTTGAGAAAGCTTAATTGCACGAGGTGTAAGGGATTCAAAGATATGCTATAATTCATTACCAAATTATTCTTTTCCTGTAAACTATTGCTAGAATTTGTATCCCAACATTGGAAACGGGATTCCTCATAAGACCACAAATGGGATAGCTAGAAGAATTTATTGGAGTAACATTCGCAAATATGTCAAATCTGCCCGACATAAATTGGAGAAGGAAAACGGAGTTCACTTGGAAAATAAAGTCCTACTTCCAGACATTATCCACCGTAATTTGGCATGGCAGCAATGGTAATGGCTGCCATTAAGGACTTTGAACTGATAATTGATTAAGAATAATGCTAGTAGATAATTGCCATTATCCTACTCTAATTTTAAAATTATTAAATGAAATATAATAATGGCAAGGCTTGATGGCAATTTATCTGGTTAAAATATACCTTGATTCTCACTTTACCCTCTAATCTTTATTTTTTGTCACTTAACCCCCTAAGAGACAAAAATACCCCTCTATTATGCAAAATTTTTATTTTCAAACTCTCTACTCCCTTTAATCATTGAACTTTAGCCTGCAATTTGATTTTGACCACTCTAATTGATGGTGGCAAACTTTCACACGAGATGAGTACATATAAGAGGGAATGTACTAACAATTGATTATTTTTAAAAAAAAATGGCAAGAAAAAGATTGTAATAAGGAAAAAAACTCATTGTAGGAAAACAATAAAAAAATTCCATTACCGATACTATCTTTAAAAAAACTTACTAGATAGTAAAATAATTTTTACTAGATAGAAACAATATATTTACAAAACGTTAACTCGTTCTATCATTAGTCTACTATTAGTTGATGGAGGCCTATGATACTGTAAGATGGAGCTTTCTGCTTTAAGTGATGAAAATTTTGAACTTCCCTCCTATTTTCATTACTTGGGTAAGGAATTGTTTCTGCACAGCCAGGTTATCAATCAATCTAAATGGCTCGTTGGTGGGTTATTTTGGTAGTAGTAGAGGATTAAGACAAGGAGATCCCATTTCTCCTTATTTGTTTTTGCTGGTCATGGAGGTCTTCACGCAACTCTTTGATGATAACAACAGAGCCTTGGGCTTTGATTATCACCCTAGATGTGAGTCTTTGAAGTTACCTCATGTCATGTTTGCTGATGACTTATTTTTAATGGCTAAAGCTAATGCCAAGTCTCTAAGCACTATTAGAGAAACATTGAATGCATTTGCTGAGATGTCTGGACTTCGGCCAAATATGGCTAAATCTGAAATCTTCATAGCTGGTGTCCTAGATGAGGATTGCAGTGCTATTGCTAATGTGATTGGTATACCATTAGGCCAATTACCAGTTAAGTACTTGGGAGTGCCCTTAATATCTACCAGGTTAACTACTACTGATTGTTAACCAATTATTGACAAGATGCTTGCACGTATTAGAAGCGGGTCTGCTAGGAAGCTATCATATTGAGGTAGATTAATGCTCATAAAATCAGTTCTAAACAGTTTTTTGGTGTACTGGGCAAGCATATTTGTTTTACCAAAGAAGCTGATAAAGAAAATTGAAAGTCTACTGAATGCCTTGTTATAGTCTGGTCCTGAGCTATCGTGTAGTAGAGCTAAAGTAAGCTGGAGAGAAGCTTGCAAATCTACTTCTGAGGGTGGCTTGGGGTTCAAAAGTTTGAAAGAATGGAATAAAGCTTTGATGATCAGGCATATTTGGGATATATTTCACAAGAAGGACTCTCTATGGATTATGTGGGTACATGCTTATATACTGAAAGGCAAAAGCTTTTGCCTTTTGGGCTATTCAACCAATTGCCTCCTCATCTTGGAATTGGCGCAAAGTATTAAAACTGAAACCTCTTGCCAGCAAACGTATCCAAATGGTAGGAGGAGATGGGCAGATAACACACTTGTGGTATGATTGGTTGCATCCTCTTGGACCATTACTCCAAGTGTTTCCTGATCGCATAATTCACTTGTTTAGGAGCTTTGCAGATCCAAAAGTATCCTCCATTATTCAAAATGGAGAATGGGTTTGGTCTTCTGGTAGAACATACACAGGTGAAGTAGTGCAACTGGTGAATGCCACACCGCCTTCACTTTTTCCTATGCCTGACCAAATTGATACTGCTGTATGGACTGCTGATTCTAAAGGTTGCTATACTGCTAGTTCCGCATTTAAGGTGCTCACCACTCTTTGCCCTTCTGTTTCTTGGAGTAAATTGGTATGGGAAGAGCAGCATGTTCTAAGGCACTCTTTTATTCTGTGGTTGGCGTGTCAAAATAGGTTATCAACAAAGGATAGACTACTAGAATGGGGAATGTTGCTAGGCCCCTACTGCACTCTGTGTTCTGCTGCTGATGAATCCATTGAACTCCTGTTTTCTCTCTGACCTTTTTCAGCCTCTATTTGGTCGTGTGTACTGAGGAAATGCAAGATAAACGGAGAACCTAAAGGCTTTTGCTTCTTGTGTGAAACATGCAGCTTTTGCTGCTACAGTATGCTGTTTGGAGAAGTAGGATCCAGAAGATATTTAGTAGCCTACAAATTTCTCCCTCTGCTGTCAGCAATCAAGTAATTAGAGAGATTCGCAGCATTGTGCTAGGATGGAGACCTATACCTAGGCTTCAGCAAAATCTGGAGCTGTGCATGGAATTAGGAGTTTCCCTTGCTGCATTTGATCCCATTCTTTTGTAAATAATATAGTTTGGCAATAGAGTTGGATTACCGTTCAATCTGTGATGCAAATTGGTATGGGGGGCCCCCAATCTTTGTGTAAACTCAACCGCTTATCAATAAAAGTATAAAGCGTACAAAAAAAAACTTGTTCAAACTTTTTCAATCTGCACGAAATTGACATGAATAAGCAAGGTCAGTGCTTAATATTCTTGGCCTCTATAACAAAGGCAATAACAAATAAGGTGATACACATAGTCGACTATAACATATGATGTTTCCATGAGCACAAGGGCCACCAGACCATAGATAAAGAAGAACGCCACAAGGGGTCTGAAGTCGGTAATCACAACTTTCTGCACTATTAATGCTTGGCAACATGCTACAATTGTGAAGACCGCGGAGTAGAAGATGGAAATCATGTTCATCACATAGTAGCAGGGCAGGGAAACATAAAAATCCTCGGTTTCAAATCGCAAAAAGATAATCACAAGCAGGGTCCCCATGGTGAACAGAGAGGAGAACAGCCCTCCTGCTAAGTAGAACATCAACAAGCTGAATTCCCAACGCCGGTTCTTGAGAAAAATGGCCTCTCCAGTCGTTTGATCGAAACCTCCAGGTACAGTAAAAATTGCAGCAAAGTTTATGGTACCAATGAGGACAGACACAATCAACACAGTGTTGGCCAATGCTCTCACAGTTTCCTCTGCCTTTTCACGTAGACTTGCATGGCTCGTCTCGAATACTTGTTTTGCTGTTTTCCCATCAGAATTTTGTAGTTGCCAGAGATATGGAAAAGAGTCATATTGCACCCGCTGTGGAGCCAAAGATCAATAATAAGTTGCAAATAGTCTGGAAAAGAAAATTAAACAATATACAACAGGCAATGCAATACTGGTATTAATTTAATTTGGTACCTTAAACCAGAGGACTTCCCACATCATTTGCTGAAAAACTCCAGGGGGAGTACTGGGAGGGGATTCCAGGCGTGCTGCGAGATGTATAATGCTATTTCCTTCGTGATCAATGGCACTTAGCATCCTGTCCATGTTAGTACCACTAGTCATCAAGTAGTCGTACAAGACCCATTTTTTCTCCTCCACTGCAATTTGCAGTATATTCCTTCCTTTTCCATCGAAGGTATACGAAGCTTCAGGGTAGACACTGAGGATTTCCTGAACTACCTCAATGATGCCCAGTCTCGTTGCTTGTATTAGTGGATCTGGCAGCCTATTTTTCTTTTCTGATGATATCCCAAACTGGCTGCCTTCAAGATCCTTGTCCTCTGCATGCACATAGTGGCTCCAATCTTCTCTTCTGATCAACCTTTCTGCAAGCATTTGTGCAACTGCATGGCTTTGCTTTGCATCATCGATTTCTTTAAGCCAAGGAAAACCTAGAGGCCGAATGCATCAAATTGGATAAACCATTAATGAGTAACTCCAATGAGGGCAGATTTGGTCAGGGAGATGCAGAAATAGTACTTCAAGATCCATTACATGTCCTAGGCTTTTTGTTCTTCTTAGAATCTGTTATATTGGCACAAATCTCCTCGGTTCTTAAAAAGAAACAGTTTGAAGAGGTTCAATTAGCCAAAATGAATTTCTAGACTTGCAATTGCTTGTTTATTCCTTTTTCTAGGACATGCCGATGAATAAAAGATGTGTGAAGTAAAAGGAAATTGAAGAGAGCATGCAGGCCAAGCTTAATACCACTTGAAAACTAAATTCTTACATTGTTTAGGCATGAAAAAGAAATTAATTTACTCAAAGGAAACAACATGTTGTTGCAATTACGAAAGTAGGCTAGACAAGACTATGCTTTACCCAAAGGAAAACAAAATTTTATCAACATATTCTGTCATCACTAGCATGAGTGCATACGAAGTAGATACAAGATGCTTTACCCAAGATATAATTGGCAGAAGAAGATCTGTTCAATTTATGAATGGAAGCTGTATTGCTTGGTTCTTCTGCACTATTGGCAGGTTGTGATTCCTTGTACAAGACCGGAATACCTGCCAGCAACACAATGAACTGATAGTATCACTCTTTCAAAATTTTGAGGGCATTTAAAGCCTGCTTCCTCGAAAAAACCAGCTGGCAGATAAAATGGTAGTTCAAATTGCTTCTCCATGGATACCCAAAACCATTAAACACTAAATTAGATGATTTTTAGCAAGGTCTCCAGGGTAAGCACAAATGCATGTCACCAGAACATAGTACAGTAAAAATTAGTTTAAACTTTTGTCTCCCAATGTCGGGGAGGGGAATAATCATGTGCTTGATAGGATTTGCATTGACTTCAAAACCATATCACATTCAGCCCAGTGATTATTGTCAATTTGCCTAATCAACATTGCGGGTACAGTACTTAAGTACTTGAAGAAATTCGAATGAATGTCTCTTAAGTCTGGGAAAAGAATTACATGTTGCAACTTACAGCACGTACACCAATAGATTATAGTTCGGAGTATATGC